ACACACTTCTCATTATTCACCAGGATGTTTAAGATGAACTTGATCTTATCCTCTTACTCCACAGACACAGACTACCTGCAGAAGGTATTCCACAAAACCTTAAAGAAGAATGTGCATTTTATCTGCTACAACAAACTCGGTCAAAAAGTGTCTATTTGTGACTACTGGAACGGTGAGAAAACAAGAGTTCTTCAGATTTAACTGAAGACAGTCTGCACATTTACTGAAAGATAAAACATATTTTGTCCACAGACCCTCACCAAAGACTCAGCTACCTGCGGAACAACATCTTTCTGCCTCTCCTTAATGGTGAACGACCTCACAGTGACATGAAAGGTATTGGATCTGGTTTAGTCATCATATGCACTGGTTAGCACAAAAACAAACGTTCATGCCTTTGGCTTTTCCTTTCACAGCGTGGAGGGAAAACTTCCTGCAAATCGAGAAGTTGGTGCTAATTGGAGGACCGGATGATGGTGTCATCACACCGTGGCAGTCAAGGTCTCACTGTCATCAGCTTTACAGCGCACACTCTTTGTTCTCTTTCATTTACATTTTATAAATGAGAGGTGGCTCATTATGTCACACTGACGAGACTGTTTGGAAAAAAATCGACCCATCAATTTCCTTCTGTTGGCTTTCAATCAATCGAAAAAATCCTGACATGAATTTTGGAGGAACAAAATTTCCTGTAGTGCATTCTGCTGCTTGTGGGCCACAAAGCAGCACTTTATGTGATGGTCACCTTAAGATGCATGTCGGTCCTTTTCAATACTGGATTCAAAGTACAATATTTGTATTCAGTTGCACTCAGGTCAGTCAGGTCCCACCTTCAGACACACAAACAGTTCCTCCCCCTGAGCCATTCATCCCCCCACTCACCTCACCGCTCTGAGCCAGGGTCTGAGTAACCCTCATCACTCAGGCCAGACCAAGTCTTTTCTTTGCACTTTGCAACTGTTTTGTTCTCAAATGTGTGCCTTTCTCTTATGTTTGTGCACATTTCTTCTGATTGCTATTTATTCCTGCTGTCTGCTAATAAAACTTTATTCCAGAACAGTTATGTGGAGCACGCACAATTTCGTTATACATGTACAATGACAATAAAGGGCTATTCTATTCTATCCTATACTAAAACTACACTTAAGTAAAGATACTCGGTTTGGAGACAACAAAGTTTTTACCAGCAAAGCCTTCGATGTGTTTGCAAAGTGATCAGTTTGTGGTAAAAGTTCTGAAACATCTTTACCTGAAACAACTGTTTCCTTTTTTCTGTGCAGCCACTTCGGATTCTATGACAGCAGCGAAAACGTCGTAGAAATGCAGAAGCAGGAGGTTAGTGGCAAACTGAAGTGCTGCCTGTACAACACACTTCATTTTTATTGAGGTGTAGCTAAAAACACAGTCCTGCTGTAGGTTTTCACTTAATGACTGACATAATATTAAGTCTGTTACAGAGGTGTTGATTCAGCTTTGTGGAAATTGGTGGTGTTTCTTAGTTGTGCTGCATTATACAGTCCATGTTTTATTTATGAATTGAGAATAGATGGATGGATGTGTGGCAAAGCTGAATCGTTTGTCTGCTGTATCTTATTATCTCATAGCAGAGCTACTTTTAGTGACATTCACAGCATGCAAGTGTGGCAGGATATTATACACATTTTCTTTAACACACACACAAATGTTGAAGGGAGGAAATTAAGGATGAACAGATCATTTTATTAACAAAATAAAAATACTCAGGGTGGTTGATGGGGAGGGAGTGGTGGTGGAATTGAGGCTGAAAGGAAGGTGGCTCAGTCTGCTGAGGAGAGATGAAGGGAGAGACGGGTGGAGCTAGGTGCAGAGGTTTCAAAGCTGAGCCAGAGGAGGAAGAGGAGGAAGAGGTGGAAGGCAGAGGCTGGAGTCAGGCAGGGAACAGAACATACAATTTGTGCAGATGCTCCAAAGGTAGGAATACTTCATTTTGGAGTTCTCCTCCCACCAACATATTCCAGCAGCGCATCACACCTCTATCATGCATCACAGGTAAAAAATGCTTTTGAAAAAGGATGCGCCTGTGCGTCTTCAGTCGTAGCTCCTGCAGCAAGCCTCCTCTGTTGTCTGTCACCAGACGTGTTTTAGGAATCGAGACGTTCTTCAAAATGGGGCAATGACATTGTTTTCTGGATAAACAGGTAGGAGGATCGAAGGGGCACAAATGTGAGAAATGAGAATGAGCACACAAAGAAAACCAGAAGTAGGCACAGGAAGTTTAAGAAAGAACTCAAAACTAAAGGATGTTACAGAGACCAACACAAAAAGGCTCCTCCTGCTGGACTGCTGTGTTAGACTGCTCTCTTGTAGAGAATAAAATGTTAGCTGAATGTATTTTATTGCAAATGTGTTAAACTAAACTTGAATTTTTTAATATCTCTACTACTTTCACTGCAGACCCTCCACTGTGTTCATTCAAAAACACAACTTGAATCATGTCATTTCCTTCTGCTCTCTCAGTTTTACCTGAACGATGCGTTTGGGCTGAAGACGCTGGACCAACGTGGCGACTTGGTGACGTGTGTTCATTCGGGGGTGAAGCACACAACCTGGCACTCCAACTTCACAGTGTTCAGGAACTGCATGGAGAAGTGGCTCACATAAAAACTCTCCAACAGTAAAAGCGTGGACGTCCGTCCAGATGTGAAAACTTTTTGTGCAATCAAAGAAAACAATGATTTAACTCCTGTCTGTGCAAATGTGCAGGATTTGTGCTTACTGCACTATTCATACTGCACAACTGACTGCTGTAATTTTTTTAAAAGGTTTTTATTTTATTAACATGATTTGCTTATATAAGTGTATATGTTGCATTTATAATCAGCTTTCAGGTTATGATGAACTATCTCTTTATAAGCCATCTTATTTAATGTTTTCCACTGATCAGTGTTGATAATAATTATCTATGAAACATCTTTTAAACTGTTGTTTTTGTCTGATTCACAGAAAGTGCATTTTGTACACAGCCAAAACTTTGTGATCCTTTTTTGTACCTTGAGAAGTCCTTCATGGAAATGTCTTGAATATTGGGCGCAGCTGCTGCTCTCATTTCTCATTCTGTACATCCTCACTTCCGCTCTGTGCACCTTCAGATGGCGGTGTGAGGGCAGGAGGTGAGCAAGATATACAAGGAGAGAGGAAGTAGTATACTCAGGAGTACAGAGTATAAGTAAATGAGACTTCCTGTCCACTGTGTGCTTACTGTCAGCATCACACCCACAGAGGTGAAGAATCGGCTGTATGCATAGCTGAGCTCCTGATTAATCACTCACTGTATTGTAATTTATAACAATGTATTTATATCAAAGCTATTTCCTAGTTTCCTCTTCATGAGGTGCATTTCATTATTGCATTAACATATTTCACGAGAACGTGCACCTCTGCAATGCTTGGTCTGGTTCCCCCAGACTGTACAGTCCAGCTAATGACCTGAATGACTTTATTATATGAACTTTTTTCTAAAGTGCATTCTCAGAAATTTCTCATATTTTCATGCTTTTCTGTGACTTTAACTGCAGATTTATGACGCTACCTACGATTGTCAAATTTAGCTTTGCTCATAAGAATAGAGACTTAATTACTTTTGAATGTAAACCAGCAAATTATGCTTCTGCCAAACTTTTCTCCAGCGTCTAGTTGAAGTCGTTATTGTAAGTCAACATATTTTCAGCATATTTAAAGCGCAGTGCTGTGATGAAATTGAATCTAGTTAAACAGCAGTGAAAATCTAAACCGGCTCTTTGACCTGGCTTAGATTTTACATGCAGTTTGTCCCACTGCTGACACTTCACCCATGATTAGATTAAAGCGTCATGGTGGAGTGTGATCAGTCACTTAATCCAATTCATTTTCTCCAACAAGAGTTACTGATTCAGAATCTCACTTTAAATTGTGATTAGCTAATATATTTTTCATTTCATTTCATTTTTATAGGAAAAAATTCAATATATTTAATCTTCCATACGCAGTTTTCCCCCTCATGATTATTCCTTACATCCAGATTAGATTCTGTGACAGAATAGCATAGAAATAACTTGGTATTTGACCCTGCAGCTGAATTACTAAAAAGGTGGATCTGTAATAATTAATGATTTTAGATCCACTTATTGTGTAACACTACTACTAACGAGTGTTAAATATATAAATAAAAACACATGAAAAGTACAGTAATGCTAAAATTAAAAATGCTTCCATAACAGAAAGGCCGATTGCGTGTCTCATTACATTAGTGAAAGCAGGCGTGGCAGTGGGCCTACGAGTCAGCGCAGAGCCACACGAGAGCAGTAACGATCTTTACTGACTCGCTCCAGCTGTTGCTCTTTAACAGGTATGACCGGTGACGTCACTAAGGTGACACCCACCTCTCCTCCTCCTCTCCGGTGTGTTGCAACGCAGCTCCGGCTCAGTTCCCGGTGGAGATTTTTCTGGTTGGAAATCTTTTGTGTCTCGACCATGAAGCTTTCCGCCGGCTCTTTCAAACCTTCCTCCCTCTGAGAGGCCCGCAGGACTTTCAGCGTAAGTTGACACCGATTCGAAAACTTTCTCGTGGATTTGTCTCGTGCTGGATCAACTACGCTGCTTTCACGTTGAATCTCTGGACCTCGGTAGCTTAAAATAGAGGCAGATAGACGGAGTTGAAATGTTTTCCACTGGATGGGGATGGGTTTCCTTTTTGGAAACATGTTGTGGGACGGGACAGGCTAGGGTTTAAAACAGCTGAGCGCCCTTTGAAGGGCGAAAGCTGGAAAGACAGATTCATTCATCGACAGTCTGGCTGCACTTCACTGTCAGCGTGGCTCAAGGTCGACGTGTCCCGCCCTGTGGGGAGCTACTGTAAACAGCCTGTAGCTGCAGACAACACAGGGCTCAAAACATCCACGGAGGGAACAGAAAGCTGTAAATCAGAGCACCAGGCAGGCTGCTGATAATGTCAGAACGAGTCGTGCTAAGTGTGAAGGCAGCTGGAAAATGCAGACAATTCTCAGCCATCCATTTAAACTTTAAGTTAGGCACACCGTTGCCTATGATGAATGTTGTACCAGAAGAAATTCATTACCTTCTCAGTAAGCTAGTATGCCACTGTGATAGTGGAACTAGATCAATATACTGTAATCTGCAGGGAGGAATGACGATTGGAGTGAACTTGTAGATGAACAGGTGTTGGTAGGTATGGTGATAAGGAGAGGAGTGCAGAAGGACAGATGGTAGTAGTTTGTGCCAAAAGGCTGGACATGGCTAAAGTGAACATTTCATCAAGACAGAAGGCTTTATGCAACAGTGCGGGAGTATATCTTATGCAAAAGGAACAGTCGGAAAGACAGAATGTAGCTGGGCAGGATTGGGTGTCTGCAGGCTGTAGGATGGCTTTGAAAATGAAGAAGAGAAAGCAAATGAAGGCAGAGGCAAGGATTAAATGGTGGAAGATGATTCACTGTGGAGCTG